ATTTAGTAACAAATAAATGGGATACAAAAAGGTTTTGGTCTTCATTTTTCTTTATCCAACTTTACTTCTTATTAGTGATTACTTTCTTTTAAAACAATAACTACTCTCTTTTAACTACTTTCTCTTAAAATAATAATCGTTCAACATACCTATGCTTTTATCTATTTTTATCTTTTCACTCTTAAAAATTCTCTCTCCCTTTTTTGTACTTTCTTTTCATTCTCACTTTTTATGATTTTCTCATTCCAATCAATTTTCAATCTCCCCATTATTCCAAATTCATCCCCACTGTGTCTTGGTGTAACACCCCAATTTTCATATCTTTATTGAGGGTAATGTGATAATTTTTAGGATAATTTAGTAGCCTAGAACGGGCCGTTCCAAACTACTAAAAAGACTCATTTTTTGTAGCTCAAAACGGGCCTTTCCAGACCACCAAAATGACCTATAACCCTAAATTGGAACGGGGCGTTCCAAATATAGACATTATGGGTTAAATGCAACCCCAGAACGAGCCGTTCTGGTTTGAGAACGGGCCGTTTTGGTTGTGAATTTTAAACATGTCGTCAGAGTCCAGAACGGGGCGTTCCGGATTTGAAACGGACCGTTCCGACAACGCTTGATGCCTATAAATAGAGTGTTCTAGCACTTCTAAAAAGCACACCTTTCATTTCTGACTCTTTTTCTTCTTTACTCTTTTTTCTTCCTCTGTACTCTCTAAAGACCGAGGGGAACCTAGCGGAGAAAATCAACCAGATCCTTAGTTTCAGCTACTGTTTATCTAGGTATGGGGAAAAGGGGTTATTTGTATGCAAAGTTACATGAGGGAATTGGGTAGAAGAGGAAGCTTGTAGGATTATGAGTAATTTTATAATTATTTCTGTTTGAAGAATTATTGGTCTTATGTGATTCTGTATGAATTTAGGATTATGAATATATATTTAATTTGTAAAAATGATGATTTGGGAGAGAGAACGAAATTATAGAAAAGTGTCTGTGAGTTAGGTTTTGAAAAATTTGGAGTTTTACTATTTGATTTAATATTGTATTAAATTGATGATTCAATTGAGTGTTATAATAATTTATAAATATTATTGTTATATTATATGGTAAAAATTGGATGATCTAGATGTAAATTCATGGTGAATTGCTTGAGGAGTATGTGAACCACTATTTTGTTAGACTTATCTATTAAGTGTATGTGATATGGAATTAAGTTATGAGATGAAATGTATTGAATATGAATATGATGTGATTGTGATTCCTCACACTAGTGACCAGGGGTGGCACGACCTTGGACAAGAGATGTCACAGGCATTACCTTGGCATAGCGTAGGATTTGTGATTTCTCATGCTTATGTCGGGGTGGCACGACTTTGGGCAAGAGATGCTACAGGCGTGACCTTGGCATAGGGTGAGATGTATAAGGCAATTAATACTTATGTCGGGGGTGGAACGACCTTGGACAAGAGATGCTACAGGCGTGACCTTGGCATAGGGTGAGATGTATAAGGCAATTAATACTTATGTCGGGGGTGGAACGACCTTGGACAAGAGATGCTACAGGCGTGACCTTGACATAATGTTAATTGCAAGATTTGTGATGGATTGGTGTGAAATTGTGATCTGAAGTTGATGCATGATTGATAGAATTATGATATGTAGAAATGATTGTAAATATTTCATTATATAATGAGTTATGATGAGATTACATTGTTGTGTGTTTGTATGTGTTTTACATATAGATGTTTTCTTTTCTCACCGTACAAATTGTAGATGTTTTAGGTGAGGAAGATCCAGCTACGAGTGACATCTAGAATGTCAACAGTTGAATTGTGGGTATGTTCTGATATTGTGACATCGGGACAGAGGATTTTTAGGACATAGATTTTTATATGGATTTGGAATTGTAAATATTATTTTGAAAATAATTTGTAAACTCTTGTGTTTCATTTTCTAAATTTTTATTATTGTGGTTATTGAAGAACAATTTTTTGAAGTTTCTCATATGAACCTTTTTACCGAAATTGAAAGATTTATTTGTAAGTTTGCATCATTACAATATGTGTTGGGGTAGTAAGGGTGTCACACTTGGTATGAATCACATTTGGAATTAAGTTCTATTATATTTTAACTCATATTTTTTAAGGTTCCAATATTTTCTTAATAAATTTCTTTGTTTCTTTTTCTATTGAACCTTTTGAATATAATGACACATGGTGTAGAAGAACAATACTCTGACCGTGATAAGGACACTATTAAGAAGCATGATCACACTCTTCATGATCATGACTTAGATGAAGCTCATGAAACAAAAAGTATGTTCTTTTTCTAAATTATCTACAATTAGATGTACTAAAAATTAAAAATAGAAGCGACGCAACCGTGTTTTTGAAATTAAAGATATGTATGTCAAAATGAAATTTGAATTTGTGAAGGGAATGACAATAATTTAGTTTCGATTTTGGTTTTTATTGTTAATATATGAGAGAGATAAATAACTATAGATTTTGAACTAAATTAAGTGAGTTAGTATATTAAATTTAAGCCATTTTGATATTATAATCATTAATTTTGATATACAATTAAATTTGATACGTGATTTGAGATACTTTCAATTTTATAAGAATGTTAAGTTGGTCGGTAAATTAATGATATATATTATATTAAAAATTCTTCATTCAATTTTTTAGACTTGTTAAATAAAATTTAAATCATTAAGTAATAATAGATATTCACATATATATATATATATATATATTTATTTATTTATTTATTTATTTATTTATTCGGAGGTCATATATAAGTAAGTATAGGAATATGAATATCAAAGGATATATATAGTTATACATGTTTGGTTTGTGCCAATCTCTAACAATTTAATAGATTAATTCCTTAAACTATTCCCACTTTTAGTACTTATGCTTGGGAACCATGTACTATATTGGTTTCCTAGCAATCGAATAACTTTATCACTTAGATTTTTTGCGTCTTTGACACAAGTCTAGAGAACTATGTATCATAGTGATCTCCTATCAACCAAGTAAATCAAGTAGGTCCTTTAATTGATAATTGACCGACTTTTCAAATACACCACGTAACAAAACTTGGTTGGCTTCTAAATCATTTCTCTTGTAATCAATTGAGGATAAGACATCATGATTTATAGAATAAACAAGGTAACATTTATAAATGTCAATATTTATGAACTTACTAATGTTAATAAGGATACACCATAATTTATAGGATTATAACAAGAAATAAGAGATTCATGTCTAAAATATCACCCGAATTTATATACAGGAGTTCCTAAGTCTAAAAAAAATAGATATTTACACTTAGTGAATGTTTTGAATTGGGATAACCTCTAAATTTTTTTCAGAAGAGATTTCATACTAGAATACTGTCTTTACAATCTTTACTCATCTCATTTAAATCTCTACATGATAATTCTTGTTGTTATTTATTTTTGTCATTAATAACATGATTTTAGCTTAATTTATATACATTCTTACGTTATCTTGAAAATTTAATTGGAGCTTTAATGCTTGTTGTTGAAAACTCTTTTACTGAATTCTTGAATTTTTTTTTTAAACTTTTTACAAGTTAAAATTGATCTCAAAAGGACAAGAAAGAAATACAATTTATTAGAATATTAGAAGTAAAAAAAATCAATAAAAGGCCAAAGAGATCAATAGAAGTGAAAATGAAATAAAGAAAGTCCAAAATCAAGTATATACCGTGGCATTCACTCTTATGTCATGACATGAATACACTAAAGTTCAAACAGAAGCCCGTTCCATTGGTTTTAATTGTTTTTAAAAACTAATTAGGTATAACCCTAAAGAGATAATTCCATACACCCTAAAACACTGCATTTGGTCAAAAGAACGTTTAACACGATATAAAAATGTTTTAATAAATTTAACACTGTTTTAAGTTAGTATAATAGGGATGCAAATTTTTCATATATGGAAAGTCGGAAATTTGAGTGATGATTCATTTCATTCCAATTAGGTAAAATGTTTTATTTGTAAGCGTTCTCTGGGGCCAAAGGCATCATCCTCTCCGTCAAACAATGCTAATTACTAATTCTCCTAACGTTTATTGTGTACCAAAACTTTTCAACACAAAAACGTCTCGGGCCTAGATTTTTTTGTGTATTTAAAAAATTATTGAACACGTTTGAGATCCCCAACATTTTCTTTGTTTTATTTGACCAGTGACATTTTATTTGTATTATTCTCAACGTGAAAAAAAAATATTTTAATAAATTATCAGTTAAGTAACATTTTTTTTTGTAATTTTAATTTTTTTTATTTAAACTAGCCAAAAAAATTCAAATAAGGTGCTCATTCTAGTGTTAATTAATCAAACCTTACTATTAATATAATTTTTTTTATTACTATTTTAATTTTATTTAATTGAATTTATACAATCAATATGTAATCTATTATTTTTTTATAAACTTATATATTAAAAAACATCTATTTATCATAAATTTAAAATATAACTTATATATTAAAAAACATCTATTTATATAAATTTAAAATATAATTTATATATTCAAACATAATATTTTTAATATATAATTTATTATAAATTTTAGTTATATATAGAAAACATTAAATTTTTACAATGTACATATTAAAATAAAAATTTAATTAGAAAGAGTACAATAAACTTACCAATTTTTAAGATAATTTAGTTTTATCATTTTAAAAGTTATAATGTTTTATAATTAAATTTAATTTTATTATTTATAATTTTTCACATCTATCTATCTATGTATATCTATAAATTTTGATAATCACTTTTTTATTTTTATTTTATAATAAATTATTATATTCTTGAATTAAAAAAATATTATATTATTTTTAAATAATATTTATAATTTCTAATATTTATCTTTTATTTTCATGTAATTATTAGAGATATAAAATTTATCCGATCGATAATAATAAATAAAAGAAAAGAAAAAGTAGGAAACAAGATAATTAATGGTGAACGCGTGGCCACCGAACCCAATCCGAATCTCATCTCTGATCCATTTCGGAACACCACTCTCCGTCTCCGCATTGCAATCTGCAACAATGGCCGATGCAGCGCTTCTTCTGCACGAGACGCATCCCTTGAAAGAGATCGTAATCGACTACACCCCCGAGGCCTGTTCCCACTGCGCCGCCTCCAACACCATCGCCCTCACCTACGACCACCGCGGCGGGGCTCGGTGGCGCACCGCCACCCGCTTCCACTCCGGCACCTTCAGCGCCCGCATCCGGTGCCCGGGAGGCGACACGAGCGGCCTGAACTTCAACCTGTACCTCTCCTCCCTTGAGGGGGACAAGTCGCAGGACGAGATCGACTTCGAGTTCCTCGGCAGGGACAGGAGCCTGGTGCAAACCAACGTCTTCACGGAGGGCGCTGGGAACAGGGAGCGGTTCCACGAACTGGGCTTCGACGCCTCCGATGGGTTCCACGAGTATGTGTTCGCGTGGGGGAGCGAGGCGATTGAGTGGCGCGTGGATGGGAAGGTGGTGAGGAGGGAGGAGAGGAAGGAGGGTGAGGGTGAGGGGTTCCCCCGAAAGCCCATGTTTTTGTACGCTTCCATTTGGGATGCCAGTGGGATCGATGAGGGCAGCTGGTGTGGCAAGTATTGTGGGAAGGATCAGCCTTATGTTTGTCTCTATAAGGACATTCGTGTTCCCCTTCGCACTGCTGTCGGTTGAACCTTGTCTTCTGTTGCCTCCTATGTGATTCTCTATTTTCTTTTTCTTATTCCTCATTCTGCAAATATTATCAATTATCAATGCTCATTCAACTGTTACGAGGTTTTTTTTTTTTATCAGATTGATTCCTTTTATTTTTGGCATTTCTGAAATGATTTAGAAAAGGATATGGTTCTGCTATTAGAATCTATTTATCGGCTTTTTAACCTCAATAAAATAAAATAAATATTTAAAATAATCATAATAAATTGTTTCGACCAAGTAGACATCTAAAAAAATATCATTGGTTTCGAAGTCTTGTATGCATGTAAAAATGTCAGAGCCAGTGAGGCATTACATGCAGAACTTGTGAAACAGAAAACTTAGGGGCATGATGTCTTCCATGCAATGCAGTATCTGTGAAATAGATAATAAATTGTTTGGAAATGGTTAAGTAGGTTGGTTTCCCTGCTCCATTGATGCTTGGGGTCATGAAAGTACCAAACCCTTTTCAAAAGATTAAGTACTTAAAACTCTTGGCTTCCAAGACTTGCAAACACAAGGAACAACAAAACTCTAATAAAAATCATCAACTCTTAACAAAATAACTTAATCACTGTACGAATGGTTGATGTCCAAATAACTGTTAAACACTACGATCCATAAATTCAGTTGATGTCTAAACACTATCTTTATCACTGTACAAATAACTTAATCATTGTATCCAGACCCTCAACGGTTTCAGAATGGTTCAGCCCTTTGTTCAACCGTTTCCAAAGGGTTGAGCGGTTCCTTCTCTCTTTCGTGCTCTATTTTAATTTTCACCACAAGCCTGCGAGCTTGCATAGAGGTGACCATGCATGGAAGGCGTGATGCCCCTTGACATTTTTCGGTCTTCTGCACATAAAATATTTGTGTGAAGTGACTATTTCACGACATCAGGCTCCCTATTTGTGTGAAGATATTTAAACTTTCACCTTGAACTCTTAATTTATTATAATAAAAAAAATTAAAAATAATAGTAATCATTAAGAAATTTGTAATGACTAACAAATATAAGTTTTTAATTTTATTTTAACATTATAACAAAATATAAGAGATTATTATTAAGAGAACAGAAAGGGAGTCAAGCAATGACGGATCTAGAAATTCTAAATAGTGGGACAATATTTAAATACATAAATTTATCTAAATATAAAATAAAATTTCTATAAAGACAAATACATATCATAATTGTTCTCTACGAATTTTTATAGTTTGAAAATATTGAATGATTTGCTCATTTTCAATACTATCAAAAACCTCTCTCTCTCTCTCTCTCTATATATATATATGTAACTAAACAATTATTTAACCATTCATCTCCCATACGATTTCGCATTCAATTCTTGATGATATTCAGAGCAGAAAAAGCTCTTTTAATGGATGCAGTTGTCACTGGTAATATCAAAAATAACTTTAAAAGCAAATACATCAATGTATATACAACATATTTTCTTGTCTCCAAAAGCTTCATAGAAAGATACCAATCCTTTCTAATTTTGAAAAGGCACTGTCAAAACATACATCTATGAAATAATTTTCAAGTTGGTTATTTAATGTATTGTTCATAACATAACATATTGGGGAAAGAAAATCCGTACGGGGTCTCACACTAAACATAAAAATAAAATAAGTAAATAAAAATTAAAATACCGAATTTCTCATTGAAAATAAATAAAAATTCAAATAAAGTAATATAAAAACAATAACTTTAAATACACTAACCACAAAGATCACTTTAAATGTATAGTTTAGCTATTCAAACAAGAAGGAGTAGAGATGGAAGAAGAAGTTTGTTTGTTTGTTTTTTTTTTTCTTTTAATTTCACTCTTCTTACACTTTAAAATATGTTAGAGATAGAGAGGTACCTCAAAATATGAAAAGAATTGAAAAAGGTAAAAATAAAATATATAAAATATATAAAATATATAAAATATTCAAGAAAAGGTTAATAACAACTTATAGTTTTTTTTATACTTAAAATACATACATTATTAATTTATAATTTTTTTTATCTTGATTTTCAATTTAAATGCATAACAACTTTTTTTTTAATAAAATATGTAATTTGTTGTTAACTTTTATAACATATTAAAATATATTTTTTAAATCTTCCTTCTCACATAAAGATAACTGCAGTAAGCCTCAAATTCAATTTTAATTTTGTAACTTTTTATATTTTTTTATATTTTTTTTGCTTTTAGATTTTAAATAAAGATAATATAATATTATATATATTATTAAAAAAAATCCTGAAAAGTTAGTGGGGGCAACTGCCCCCACAAGTCAATATGTGCATCCGTCATTGCTTTCAACCTTTAAAATCTCAGACTACAGCCTCCGAAACGTAAGTCCAAAATTTTGGACAAAATTAATTTATAATAAATTTATTAAAAAGTAATAATTTTTTAATGTTTCGGACAAAATTTTGGCCTTACGTTTCGGAGGCTTTAGCAATGCTCTTCTATTTAACACATGTTACATCCATATATAAGTTCTTGGTGCCACATTTGTTATATTTTTATAACTCTGTTAAATTAGCATATGTATTAATGGTGACTTAACAAAAATATTTTTTTTTTTGGAAAATATTGAGGAAAATAAGTTTAATATGTAAAATTTAGCATAAGTCAAATCCTGACTTAATTACTAGTTGTACTTACATACTTTACTATTTGTTACTCTACTTTTATTATATTTAATTAATCTTTATATATATATATATACTTACTTTTATAATTAACAATCTACTTATTCGTATTTAAAATTTATATTATGATACAATTTTAATTATTTATTATAAATTTAAAAGTTTATAATTTATATATTTTAAAATATTTTTTTTATAATTTATAATGATAATATGATTCATAAAATTATAAATATTTATTTATTACATACTTATAAATTAAATTTTAATATTTTGAATAAATTATTAACTTAATATATTTATTTATCTTAAATCTAAGATATAAAATTAAAACATGTCAGGAACTAGACATGTTTTGCACCACAAGTGATGTGGACATGCCAGGTGCTAACTACCAACTCACCAACTTGTTGGGTCTTAGGCCATATGAGAAGTGTTACATGATGTACCAATAAGGTTGTTTCGTTGGTGGCACAGTTCTATAAGGTTGTTTCGTTGGTGGCACAGTTTTATGTTTGGCAAAAGACTTGGCTGAGAACAACAAGGGTGCACGTGTGTTGGTGGTTTGTTCTGAGATCACTGCAGTCACTTTTCGTGGCCTAACTGACACTCATCTTGACAGTCTTGTGGGTCAAGCATTGTTTGGAGATGGTGCAGCTGCTGTTATTGTTGGTTCAGACCCTTTGCCTGTTGAGAAGCCTTTGGTTGAATTAGGGTGGACTGCACAAACAATCCTCCCAGACAGTGAAGGAGCCATTGATAGCCACCTTTGTGAAACTGGACTCACTTTTCATCTTCTCAAGGATGTTCCTGGGCCTCATCTCAAAGAACATTGAGAAGGCTTTGGTTGAAGCGTTTCAACCTTTGAACATCTCAGACTACAGCCTTAGAAACGTAACTCCGAAATTTCGGACAAAATTATTTCATATTAAATTTATTAAAAAATAATTATTTTTTAATATTTCAAACAAAATTTCGGCCTTACGTTTCGGAGGCTTTAGCAATACTCTTCTATTTAACACATGTTACATCCATACATAAGTAATGGCTTCGTGTTTAGCGTGGGTACAAAGCTTAGTTAAATTAGCATATGTACTGATGGACATGGTGGAGACTGAACTAAATTAATTTTTTTTTGGAAAATATGGAGGAAAATAAGTTTAATATGTAAAATTTAGCATAAGCCAAATCCTGAATTAATTTGCACTTGCATACTTTACTATTTGTTACTTCACTTTTTATTATATTTAATTAATCTTTATTTATATATATACACTTACTTTTATAATTAACAATCTACTTATTTATATTTAAAATTTATATTACGATACAATTTCAATTATTTATTATAAATTTAAAAATTTAAATAATAATTTATATGTTTTAAAATATTATTTTTATAATTTATAATGATAATATGATTTATAAAATTAAAAATATTTATTTATTTCATATTTATAAATTAAATTTTAATATTTTAAATAAATTATTAATTAACTTAATAAGTTTATTTATCTTAAATCTAAGATATAAAATTAAAACATGGCAGGAGCAGGACATGTTTTGCATCCCAAGTGGTGTGAACATGCCCGGTGCTTACTACCAAGCCATATGTTACATGATGTACCAATAAGGTTATTTCGTTGGTGACACAGTTTTACGTTTGGCAAAAGACTTGGCTGAGAACAACAAGGGTGCACGTGTGTTGGTGGTTTGTTTTGAGATCACTGCAGTCACTTTCCGTGGCCCAACTGACACTTCTCATCTTGACAGTCTTGTGGGTCAAGCACTGTTATTGTTGGTTCAGACCCTTTACCTGTTGAAAAGGTTTTGTTTGAATTGGTGTGGACTGCACAAACAATCCTCCTGGACAGTGAAGGAGCCATTGAGTGCCACCTTCGTGAAGTTGGACTCACTTTTCATCTTCTCAAGGATGTTCCTAGGCTCATATCAAAGAACATTGAGAAGGCTTTGGTTGAAGCCTTTCAAGCTTTGAACATCTCAGACTACAGCCTCCGAAACGTAAGTCCGAAATTTCGGACAAAATTATTTTATAATAAATTTATTAAAAATAATAATTTTTTAATAATTCGGACATAATTTTGGCCTTACGTTTTGAAGGCTTTAGCAATGTTCTTTTATTTAACACATGTTGCATCCATACATAAGTTCTTGGTGCCACATTTGTTATATTTTTATAACTCTGTCAGCAATGGCTTCGTGTTTAGCGTGGGAACAAAGCTCAGTTAAATTAGCATATGTATTGATGGACATGATGAAGACTTAGTTAAATTGATTTTTTTTTGGAAAATATGGAAGAAAATAAGTTTAATGGGTAAAATTGAGCTTAAGTCAAATCCTAACTTAATTACTAGTTGCACTTACATACTTTACTATTTGTTACTCCGCTTTTATTATATTTAACTAATCTTTATTTATATGTATATACTTACATTTATAATTCACAATCTACTTATTTGTATTTAAAATTTATATTATAATACAATTTTAATTATTTATTATAAATTTAAAAGTTTAAATAATAATTTATATATTTTAAAATATTTTTTTTTATAATTTATAATGATAATATGATTTATAAAATTATAAATATTTATTTATTACATATTTATAAATTAAATTTTAATGTTTTAAATAAATTATTAATTAACTTAATATATTTATTTATCTTAAATCTAAGATATAAAATTCAAACATGCCTGGTCCTGGACATATTTTGCAGCACAAGTGGTGTGGACATGCCAGGTGCTGACTACCAAATCACCAAGTTGTTGGGTCTTAGGCCATATGTGAAGCGTTACACGATGTACCAACAAGGTTGTTTCGCTGGTGGCACGGTTCTACGTTTGGCAAAAGACTTAGCTGAGAACAATAAGGGTGCGCGTGTGTTGGTAGTTTGTTCTGAGATCACTGCAGTCACTTTTCGTGGCCCAACTGACACTCATCTTGACAGTCTTGTGGGTCAAGCATTGTTTGGAGATGGTGCAACTGTTGTTATTGTTGACTCAGACCATTTTCCTGTTGAGAAGCCTTTGTTTGAATTGGTGTGCACTGCACAAACAATCCTCCCAGACACTGAACGAGCCATTGATGGCCACCTTCGTGAAGTTGGACTCACTTTTCATCTTCTCAAGGTTGTTCCTAGGCTCATTTCAAAGAACATTGAGAAGGCTTTGGTTGAAGTCTTTCAACTAGTGACGGATCTAGGAATTCTAAGTAGTGGGGGCAATATTTAAATACATAAATTTATCTAAATATAAAATAAAAATTTTATAAAGACAAATACATATCATAATTGTTCTCTACAAATTTTCATAATTTGAAAATATTGAATGATTTTCTCATTTTCAATACTATCAAAAACCTCTCTCTATATATATGTAACTAAACAATTATTTAACCATTCATTTCCTATACGATTTCGCATCCAATTCTTGATGATATTCAGAGCAGAAAAAGCTCTTTCAACGGATGCAGTTGCCACTGGTAGTATCAAAAATAACACTAAAAGCAAATACATCAATGGTATACAACATATTTTCTTGTCTCCAAAAGCTTCATAGAAAGATACCAATCCTTTATAATTTTGAAAAGGCATTGTCAAAACATACTTCTATGAAATAATTTTCAAGTTAGTTATCTAAAGTAATGTTCATAACATACAATGTTTCTTCTAAATGTAACGACCCGGCTGATCACTACACACAGCACAGTACACTAGAAACACCGCACAGAAAAGAACAACTGTATACATATAGAGTCTAGAATATACATATACATGATCCAATCTGAAACAGAGTTAAAGTGTACCAAAAAGAAATACAATCATATGCTACTATCCCAAGTAGCTCAACAACAAAAAGAGTCATAAATGAGATCAGCTCCGTCGGTCCGCTGAAGACTCATCACTAGACATCACCTATCCCTGCTCTGCTCCCATACATAGTATGATCATTGCAGTCCAACATCATGGAAACAACAAAGGGGAAGCTAGTGTAATTAAAATCAACATACAATATACATATAGCAATATAATGAACAACAACTTCAGATTATCATCATACTTGTACAACTTATACCACTCAACAATATCAGCACCGCAATGCGGCAATATCAACACTGCTTAGCAGCAACAACAGCACCACTCAAGTGGTTATAACAGCATCGCAAAGTGGCAACAACATCACCGACTTAGCGGCTATAACAGCACCACATATGTGGCTAATACCAGCACCGACTTAGCGGCTATATTATCACACCACTCAGCACAGCAATTTAACACATTATTGTTTATCACCATTCGGCCCAACCTTCTATAGTTTCGCTATACTATAAAATTTTACATATTAATTCATCGATTTCAGCTCAACAATACACCTCTAACATAGCTAAATATTATTATCTCAGCTCTATCACTTAGTCATCATAGCATATTTATCAAATACAACTCAACTCAGCATATAACAACATTTATTAACAAGTTCAGCACAATCCAACCCCAACAATATATGTATATATCTCAATATCCCCTTTCGCGCCCGGCGTGCTCGAGGTCGCGCCCAGCGCGGCTCAACCCGAGAGCATCAGGGGCCATCGCGCCCAGTGCAAGAGTACTCGTGCCCGACGAGACTCAACCCAAGAGCACCAAGGCTCTCATCACGTGCCTGGCGCAATTCTAAATTGCGCCCAGCGCCTGCCTGGCAGAGACTCAAGGAGTCTCGTGCGCTCAGCGTGGCCTAACCCGCGCCCAGCGTGGGGAAGGCAGACACCTACCAAGGTCTCGCGCCCGGCGCAATTCGCATTGCACCCAGCGCCCTCTTGGCAGAGACTCCCAAGGAGCCTCCGCGCCCAGCGAGTCTAAACGCGTGCCTAGCGCGACACCAGAGTACCCAAAACATGTCACCATTGATATCGCGCCCGGCGCAGCCCAAGTCACGCCCGGTGCGGGCCAACCAGAGACTCTCATTTGCAAGCTCGCCTGGCGCACACAGCCTTGCGCCCGACAGGCTTGCCTAAATAGAGTCTCCTGGTGGTCGCGCGCCCGGCGCGAAAAACAACGCCCAGCGCGAACTCATCAGTAACTCCCCCAAGTTTGAAAAATTTCCAAAACCTGCAAAACTTCACAGAAAATCCACATGCAAACGGTTCAAAGTGTCACATTTTCATCAAGGAGTTCGAAAGTACCAGCTTTATGTGCATGCAACAACAAATCAAAGAAAACCCCAAATTTTGACTCCAAACCACAAAACCCCAAAACCCCAATTTTCAGCAAGCTCAGCCATACACAATCAATCACCAGCAGCCAAATGAGTTCCTAAACCCGTATTCCAGCCAAAAACGCAGCAAAATACTAACTTCCCTTACCTCGGTACGAAGAAATCCGAGCTTCGGGGAGAACCCAAGGAGAAAACGAAGGAAGCTTGAACACGAGAAAGGAGAATAGAGAACTTCAACACCAACTAGCAACCCACTTCACTCAGTTCCACCACCTAGTAGCAGCCAAAAGGAAGGTCCAAGTGAAAAGGGTGAAGATTGAGAGTGAGATAAGAGAAATGAGAGAGTGAGAGTTTAGAGAGGAAGAGGGTTGGGGAAAGAAAATCCGTACGGGGTCTCACACTAAACATAAAAATAAAATAAGTAAATAAAAATTAAAATACCAAATTTCTCATTGAAAATAAATAAAAATTCAAATAAAGTAATATAAAAACAATAACTTTAAATACACTAACCTCAAAGATCACTTTAAATGTATAGTTTAACTATTCAAACAAGAAGGAGAAGAGATGGAAGAAGAAGTTTGTTTGTTTGTTTGTTTTTTTCAATTTCACTCTTCTACACTTTAAAATATGTTAGAGATAGAGGGGTACCTCAAAATATGAAAAGAATTGAAAAAGGTAAAAATAAAATAGAAAAAAGATATAAAATATTCAAGAAAAGGTTAATAACAACTTATGGTTTTTTTTTATACTTAAAATACATACATTTTTAATTTATATTTTTTTATTATCTTGATTTACAATTTAAATGCATAACAACTTTTTTTTTAATAAAATATGTAATTTGTTGTTAACTTTTATAACATATTAAATTTTTTTTTTAAATCTTCCTTCTCACACAAAGATAACTGCAGCAAGACTCAAATTCAGTTTTAATTTTGTAACTTTTTATATTTTTTTATATATTTTTTTGTTTTTAGATTTTAAATAAAGATAATATAATATTATATATATTATTAAAAAAAATCCTGAAAAGTTAGTGGGAACAACTGCCCCCACAAGTCAATACGTGTATCCGTCATTGGAGTCAAGAGATTATATATATATATATATATATGAAAAAGTGAGAAATTCTAAAATAATTCTTATTTTTTAATAATAAAAAAAATATAGGATAAAGAAAAATCAAAAGAAATAAGTCGTTATATATCACACTTTCTTGTTTCCTCTTTATATTCAACATTTCTGATTTATTTTTCTAAAAATACAAGTAAATTTTTATTAAGAAATAGAAATATCACATACCAATTAATTAATTATTGTTGATTAATTTATTATTATAATAGTATTTTTTTATATAATTTAATTATGTAAATTTTATTTTCATATTTATATAAATATTAAAAAATTGATACTCTTCATTAAACCTTAGATCAGCATTCATCTTGATTGTGTTCAAGGCCACCAGTAGATATTACTTTCGGTATTATAGTCAATTACTTGCTAAAATTGGACAATATTTAGTGAAATGATTTAACTTCTTTTCCCTTCTAAGCATTTTGACAAATTAATTAACGTGGCTACCTCATTTTCATCATCATAATTGAAGGTTGAATCAATCGATTTAGCAGAGATGTTAAGGTATACCTATATTTCTATAAATAAAATGCCTCCAAAAGGGCTTGCAGGTTGCAGGAGGGTAACTAACTAGCGAAAACGACTGTTTTGCAACATTTTCACATTCTGATTAACTATTAATTAAATAGAATAGATTCAAACAACAATTTATTTAACTACAGGGTTGATCCAGTGGTTACAAGTAAAGATAGATGTATAAAAACTTGGAGCAAGCTTGAATAAACTTTAGATAGATACATAAAGACTTGGGACATATTTAAATAAACATTTCTAAAAATACATTTGGGAGAAAAGTATAAATAAAAAATAAAATAATATTTTTCATAAATTAAAATTAGTTTTATACATAAACTAATTTATAATTTTTAGAAAGGTTATATGAAAGAGTTGTTACAAATTAGTTTATATATAAACTAATGTTTTTTTCTAAAAATGTTTTTACAAAAGTTTGTCCAAACAAATCCTTAGGTAGAATATTATTTTTAATGTTGAAAAAATAATTATTTACAGCATACCACAAGTATGAAATTATTTGCGGGTAAGAGATGGGGCTAACTTTAGGTAAGTAGCTAAATCAGTTCAGCGAATGGTCAACCAAATGTGCAAAAGCAAAATGTTCAACTTGTGATGAAGCCCCAAAAGAGGGGTATTTTTCCCAACTTTATGATCGATTACTAGGAAATGAGTTATTAGTTTTGTGAATAATCTCCCCTGCAAACAAATGTCTTGACATGAGAAGGGACCTAATTATGGTTTGTTACAGCTCCTATTGGGAATGCAACTTTTCCTGGCTGTGTGAAATTGAAATACATTATTTTTTTCTCCATCAAATTCAGATACTTTCATGAAATTGCACATGATTTGTGCAGTGGATAAAGGCATAAAGCTGATTAGAATCCCTTTTTTGCTTTTGGGATGTCAAGCTGTTAGCGTTCTTAAGTCCCTCTTGTTACTGTATAGAGAACTCTACTTGACTCAACAATAGATTTTCAGACGCGGGTGATTTTGGTCATGCACATGTAGAGAACTAGCGGAGGGTACTAGTTTCTTCTCACTCGCAACGTTTATGTTTTATTTAGGAGAGGGAAAAAAAAGAGTTAATAGATGAAAATTGATTTAATAGAAAAAAGATAAGAAATAAATAAAAATTTTAACTGTTTGGTAAAATATAATTATATGAGATAGAGAAAAATTGTTATTTTAAAATTGTATTTATATAATTAGATTTTTATATAAAAATATATTTAAATAATTACATCTTTATCTTTTATTAACTAATTATTTAAATAATAGTGTAGGATTAGTTTTATTCAACCACTTTTTTTGAAAAAAATTCAAATCAATCCACTCATAAGAGAAGAATTAAATCCATTGAACCTATC